AAAAAAAAAAAAAAATCCTCAATTATCTTTAGGAGTTACAAATTTCTACAAGTACCCCTACTATTATCTATGTTTAGGAAATACAGACATCACGGATTCACATAAGTCAAGAAGGGTGGTATTTATAAGTTTGAAACTATAATTGTGTTTTTCAGTAACAAGATCGGACATCCAAGATAATTTTTGTAATTATCTCATTGTTATGTTCCTTTATTTTTTAATTTAGGTAGTATGGTGCGATAAGGGGCAAAGGCGGGGGAGGAATACAAACCTTATTGTACATCCACTCTGTCCAGGATGGTGCTTTGCATAGAGGGGAAACAAGTATCAAACCTATAACACGTTGTGGGTACTTCATCTGCAGTAAAGTAACGAATAATAAAAGTGGTTGAAATTGGAAACAAGTTGACAAAGCATCTCTAGGAAGATAATGACTTACAGCAAACAGGGTAAGAATATACGCTCCAGCTGTTGCCCCCAAGCACAATGCTCCACCAACTCTGCACGACAGTAATATTATTAGCAGAGTGCCTTACACATTTTTAATTGTTATTAATTAATGTTTCTAATTGATGCTCAGTAGGAAGATGAGTAGAAACACAAGAAATAATTATACTAAAGTCAAATTTAGAAATACCCAAAATAGTCAAGGATTTCAGCAATCTGATCAGCTAAATCATCGACAGACAACAACTGCTCATCAGGCCCCACAACATCAGCTCCTAGCTGTAATAATTCTTAACACGAGTACCAGATAAGAACCATCGCAATCCATGAAGCTCGTCATCTTAACCATTATCAATAATCAAGGAATCATGGAACAGACCTCGTGCCCTGGAGGATTGATGTGATAAATGCAAAAGTTGTGGAGAAATAGAGAAAGTGCTTCTGGACAAAAGAAGAGACCTCGGAAACAGGACATATCTGTTATGGGCCACACGCAGGTAAAGGAAGAATTAGATTTGCCGACATCACATTGTAGGAATAACAAGTACGTTTGCATATTAGTAAAATACAAAATTACTTCAAGCAGCTATTCAAAATTATTCTACAAGGTTAACATATAACAATTTAATGTTCAGTATTTCAATAATGTCAATATCCACACAAAGCATGTAGCACTATAGTAGGCTATAGATAAAGAAATTCTCGGAGAAGAGATCATTTCATACAAAAAACTTGAAGAAAATAAGATAAAAACTCTCTCAAAAGAATAAGATTCTGCCACATTTCAAGGTAATGGCTACAAATAAACCACATGTATTACCAGAAGCCTGTCAAAACTAAGATTGGCATCATGGTCAATAATATTGTTTTCCTTACAGTTTAAAGCCAAATCAGGATAGGTAATTAGCGCAGGCTTATCCTGGTCTCCAAAAACAGCCACCGACACAGAACCACAACCAGTTTCCACAATATGCTCCTGTAAGATATCACGAAAGCATAGTTTGTTAATTCTAAGTGTGTGCGAGTGCGTGTGAGAATTAGTGAGAGAGAGAGAGAGAGACAAACGTGTGCCAAATATTCCATCAGCACTGAATTCCACACAAAAAAAGTTGTGATACCGTATGCTTTGAAATTAGGAACAATCCTTTAGTTAAAGGAGCGTATCATTTATTTCCAAACAGAATTTCCCATGTGCTGTGTCTTTTATGAAATCCTGCTAGCTAAAAGTCAATGCATCTTTTCTTTTACTATCACCTTAAAGAATCCACACACCCACCAATTCATATGCACATCTTAAGAGTCTGTAATGGTACAAGCAAACAAGATACGAAACCATAAAAATATAACAGAAGAAAAATAAAATGAAAGGGAAACAAAAGGAAAAACAAAAAAAAAAAACACAGTAGAACACCAATATCCAAACAAAAACACTGAAGCAGAAATTCTTACTTGCTTTAATAAAGGAGAAGTTCACAATCTTTATCTTAAATCAGATTCAATGTATCAACATAAAAGCAGATCAGTTGCAACCAATCACAAGAGAACATTATGGTAAAGAGTCTATTTACAGACAACTAAACTAAAATAATCACATTTAATACTTTAACCAAACGTGATAATCACTCTTATGCATAACATTTGCAGATGTAAATACATACAGCTAAAAATCTTCTTCTCTGCTCTGAATTATGAGAAACGAGAGAACCAATATTTCACCAAATTAGTAGCAATGCTGGATAAAATCAGATGAAGATTATAACTCTATCAAGCTATGATAAAAATAAACCGAATAGATACTCAAATAAATCTTTTTTTAATTAATTAATTTATTTATTTATTTGCCAAATTTAGCTGCTTACCGATCATCCACAAACTCAAATTCGAAAATAAAAATATAGCAAACCTAGTTAAAAAAAATCAGATAAAAATCGAAACGCCGTTTTCACAATACCTCATGCAAATCACTTGAAAAAAATCGAAAAATTACGCGCAACTTATAAATCAATAAACCAAATGTAGCTCAAAAAACTCAATCACCACAGCATATGAGACGGCAAACTGCAAAAAACACACACATTAATGCGTGTAAAAGCGTATTTGAGCCTAATGTAACTAAAGTTTGATCCTCACCTTTCCGGCGAACGGAAGTGACTCCATATCGACGGAGACTGAGTCGCTGGAGTCCGCCATTAGTCGCACTTTCTCTCTCTAAAAATCGCGGTCTCGTATTAGTGAAGCATTGAGCTTTGCAACCAAAGCTCTTTGCAGAATATTAGCATATTTTATTTATATTTTTACTTTTTTTTTCGTGTTTTTTTCTCTTGTGAGAATGTGTATATATATAAATGCTGAGTGGAGTGATTGAGTGGTTGAGTCTTGCACCGAGTCACCGACAGTTGGGCTTTCTAGACCGAGTGCAGTGGGCCCAAAGGCCCAAACTTTTGACCATGGTTAGGTTTTAACCTGGGTTATAGACCGACATCTGTCACTTGATTTAATTTCCATGTTTACCCTCCCCTTATATGCTGCATGCAGCCTTTGCCTGGCAAGAATTTAAATTTTATTGATTATTATGGGCACCCAAAGGACATAAGCCCATATGAAATTATACATTAGACCTAAAGTTTGCGACACCAATTATCAGCTGTTAAAATGCCTATGACTATAGAGATACATACTTTTTTTTAATTGTTAAGAAATATCAATATGTTTACTTATATTATATTTTTAATATTTACATTGAATATCAAAATTATGTATATTTATTATGATTATATAATTGTCTAACCATTAGACAACTTACCAGAACACCAACCATCTTAAAAATATTCCAAGGTGGAAAACTACAAATGTCTTTTTCATTTAAATAATTTTTGTTTTTATTTATATCATTTCTTTTTTTTTTCAAAATGAGGAATGATAACTATTCTATAAAATGAATAAATAAATAAATAAGTAAAAGGAAGCATTTATTTTATTTTATGTGTGGACTGTGGAGAGTAGCATTTAAAAAGAGGGACCTTGCTTCTCTATAGTCACAACCTTCCTTTTCCATGTTAAGTTGGTTGATATAATATATTTCTTACACTAATTTCAAAATCCTTTCCCTCAAAATTCCATTTCATCATCTCATCAAAAAAAAAAAAAAA